TTTATCTGTATCTTGCGTTGTTTCCGATCAGGTTTTGTGATTCATTGATTCAGTTTTGTTTGAGCGTGCGTCAAAGATGGGCACAAGCAAAGAGTAAATGCGCTATATATTACAGTTTCTCTTCGACATCGGCTATAACGCAAGCCAGGCGGCTGAAAATCTGAATAGCGTGGTCCTGATACAGTTACAGCCAGTTTTAATCATGCACAATTTCGGTCTCGGATTCATTCCGGTAATTTTGATGTAAAAGATGCTTCACGGAGTGGCAGGCCAATTGTCGAAAATGTCGATAAAATCATGGACATTGTCGAGTCCGATCGTCATGTAAGCACTGTTTCGATTGTCCAAGAGCTAAAGAGTGCACAAAAAACCGTTTGGAACCATTTGTATAAGGTTGGATACGAAAAGTAAAAAATTAAAGCCCTCAATTTCATGCAAAAAATAATGTATTTTTTTTTACTACACCTAATTTATTTATTTATTCTAATTTATTTTTTTATATTATTTTATTTCAATATATATGGTTTTATTTGTTGTTTTCCAGCAAATTTTTGAAAACTTTTGGCAAGCACTCTTCGGCGTACCATTTTGCAGTTACCGTCTGTCGCTTTTGCAGTGGAATAGCAGCAACGATTTTAGATCGACTGAAGTAAATTGGCATTATTATTTTTTCTGCTGATTTTTGTTGCTTGGATTCTGCGGCTGAGTTTACTCCTGTTGAGCTCCATACCATGGACTGCTGTTTGATTTCTGAATCGTAATTATAGAACCAAGATTCGTCACCAATAACAACTTTACTAAAGTTGCTAGACTGACCATTATCTATTCTCGATTTCATTTTGGAAAAATTTAGCAAAAGAGGCTCTACTGCACTCTTTTTGGGCCTCATTTATGTATCCCAGATGATTACTTAATATTCGCTAGACAGCCATGCCATTCAAGGCCAATTCATGAGCCATCATTTATTGTGTCAATCGTGGTTCTTCGACAGTTTTGGTCTTCACCAGAGTCGATTTTGCTCGATCTTGTCGCGGCTCGTCTTTTACGGAAAAATGTCCGTAATCGTTATATTTTTTCTAATTTTCGTATATTTTTGTATATAACTTTATTCGTTTACTTTTTTTCAATTCTATGTTTTTTTCGCTCAATTTTTAATTCTCTTTCGATATTAATTTATTTCATTATATTTTTACAATATGTCTCAAAACTTTTCTTTTACGTTTTTTAATTTTTATTACATTTTTTTTGTTTTTATTTTGTTTAATATTTTAATAATTTTAAAATTATTTTGTGTCATATTAATTGTATTTATTAAATATAATTGAATTTTATTACATTTTTCCTTATTAACATATTGATTTCGATTTTATTTCATTTTTTATATATATTTTTTTGTTGTTTTATTTTATTAATTCAATAACTTTTGTTATACATTTTTTTTCCGACTAACCCAGCGTTACCCACCTCCCGTCCAACCGACCGAGGGACGCGTCTGAGGGATATTGAAAAATCCAACAGACCGGTGACCGAAAACCAGTAACAGTTCGGACTGCTCTGAACCCGAAACCGATAGCGGAAGGTCGCGGTTACACTTGCCTATTCCACTAAACAGCCACAGATTTGTGCATCAGCTGCTATAAAATTTCATAGGGAAAAGAAGAGGGAATTTATTTAATTATTTAAAGCACTCAGTAAGTAGATTTTGATTAAGAAAAGCGAGTTAGAGGAAGCAATGTTAGGGAAATGTGTATTAAGATCTAAATGGGTCGCGCATTTCAAAGTTTGTTCTGCACGAGCCCAATGAAAGGTGCCTAGAGTGTCTAGATGACCTTAATGGGATCGTAAAGTTAAGCTCGCTAATTAGGAAAGGGCTACTGATAGCACATCTTATCAATTTAGTAAAAATAAACCATCTTTCTACGACTATGGAGTGTAGGCAGATTAATGAATCGTAAACGAATTTTGAAAGAAGGCAGGTTCTTGTTCGCATCCCACTTTAAATTTTTGATTTTTTTTTTTTTTTTTTTTTTTTTTTTTGAGTTTTATTACATTTTACTGTTTTATTTATTCGTTTTTATTTTATTTTCTTTAATGTTTATTTAAATTTTTTGTTAAAATTTTTTAATTAATTTATTTAATTTTATAACATTTTTCTATATTATTTTATACGTGTTTATTTTTTTTTATTTTTATTTATGTTACTTCATTACATACATATTTCTATGAGCCTAAGACATGCAGCACTTACAAGTTCCAATTGAAAAATCAATCAAATTATATATTCTATGCATGATTCACTTCATTTTTCTCGAACTTCTCCAAATGTCACTAGTAATTAGGAAAAGTTTTTGTGGCATCGTCTGCTAGTAACTACATACATACATACATAGTCAGCCAGTCACCTTCCACTTCCTTTGATTGCTTCGTACACTGCGAATATAACAGTTACAAATAAACAATCAAACACATTTGCATATGGAGGTACTAACAAAAGTTTACTTCAAATATTTTTAAGTGGCGGAAGGAAACTGTAATAATATTTTTCAGACATATCATCATGGAACATACATATAATTTCAAACGGCCAGCAACCTGCTGACTACTCTACCGGGGAAGAAATGCGAGTAAAAAAAAAATATTTCTCAGAATTTCCTAAAATAACTAATCGAACTTTTCTAGTGGCCACTTTAAAAATTCATTTCTTTTTTCATCGATCTGACCTTCTTCGTCTGCATATTTTTTTTTCGCACGACAACTGAACAACCAACTGCGCGCCACACCTTCCGCTCAACGACCGTCTGTTGTACCGATTAATTAGCATTCGTAATTGATGTTTGCAAAAGTTTTGCCCACGATTTCTCTACATTTCGGACGTTTCAACACAATGTGTCCACAACTGACCGACCGTACATCTTCTGGTGTGTGTCTCCGCTTTAGGCGGCCAACTGATGTGAGTAACACTCTTCATCGTCGCTTCGCCGTCGCCCAAACATAGCTATTACTTCGCCTTTTTTGCATGTGAACACTCTTGTTGCGGCTTTATTTGGTGTTTGTTCGTACTTTTCTATGAAGGTAATGCCATTGTAAGGAATATTAAAGAATAATGAAACAGTTTTGAAACTAGTTGTGAACTAGTATGCCATACATACATCTAATTAGTTAACTAACTGCCCTTCTTTCATATGAAACTAAATATATTGAATATAACGGGTCGTGAAAGTAGAAGTACTTGTTTCAAGAGCTCTTTTTTGACAGATCAAAAGTGAGTCGTGTTAAGCTGTCATGTTATGTTTGTTCCTTTACAAATCGTTAAACTTCGCTTAACTTATGGCCAACATAATCGACTTATTCACACCCATCTTGAGACCCGGCAGTCATAATTGGTTGATATTCGACCAGGTCCAGCGAGCAGTCATGAAAATATATCGGCCGAGGCTGAGAGTGCACACGAAGACCGTGGAGAGTCGATTCAGCGCCGCTGGCATTAACTCATACTGACGTATGGAGCAACTTGGCGCATTTAACGTAGAGACCTTAAATTAAAAGCATACGAAATGCAGCTTGAACAAGAACTAAAGCCGCCCGTTCCAAGAAAATCTGACGTTTTCGAGCCTGGCTCAATAGGTATGTAAGCAAGCAAAATTTCCCCATTTGGGACGAAGAGTAACCTGATGAGATTCAAGTGCTGCCACTTTATTCAGCAAAAATAACGGTTTGGTGTAGTTTATGATCCGATGGAATTATCGGTCCATATCACGCCATGATAACCGACTATTTGATGCCTGAAATTGAATCTTGTGATTTCGGCGGCATTTAGTTTCAACAAGACGGCGCCACTTCCTACACATCGCATCGATCAATGGATTTATTGAGAGAACACATCGGTGGGCAGATAATTTCACGTTTTGGGGCCGGTAGATTGGCTACCTAGCTAATGTGATATCACACCGTTAGACTTTTTCTTGTATGGATATGTAAAGTCTAAAGTCGATGCGGACAATCCCGCTTCAATGCAGGCCTTGGAGCAAAACATCTCCCATGTCATTCGCCAGTTACCAGTCGAAATCCTCGAACGAGTCATCGAAAATTGCACTCAACGGATAGACCATCGGAGATAATTTTCAAAAAATAAATGCCAAAGAATGTTCACTCCGATAATGATAAACATTCCCAATTTAATTTGAATTTTCTGTATTTTTTTCTTTAAAAAAGTGGGGAAACTCAAAATGGATCAGATTTGCGCTATGGAAAGAAGGAAAATTGTCAGAAATATGTTACTCATGTACTAGTTCTTTTCTGAGTACTGAAGCATACTTACCCGAAATAGAACACAAAATTACAAGTTTTTTTTCTGAGCTTCTACTTGATTTTATAATTATAAAAAAATCTACATCAAAAGGCTACTTTATAAATTAAAATACTATATTTTCACAAAAATAACTTTTGTAAATATTTTTAAAATAGTCATAGGGAGAAAATACAAAACGATTGAAATTAATTACAAATTCATGCTTTTGTGTACCAGTTACAATTTGTTCATTTTAGGACCTAGTGTGATTTAATACTAGTATCAAACTAGTATTTTTACAGACCACTTATCTTTTTTACGCAAGGGATACTACTTACACTTTAGAAATATATTCAACATACAAATGTATGTATGTTTCTGCATGTTTTTGTATGTTTTCAGGACATCGAACGTGCTGGCGTACATCAGTTGAAGACGTGACTTTGGTGCGAATTAATTTTACTTTGATTTAATGTAATTAAAAAATTTGTAGGCAAATTTTTAAAAATATCTACCTACATACATACATACATATGTATGTATATACTTTTGTGTTGGCATTTAAACTGCGCACACAAATGATTGAGTGTATGTAAATTGCAGACTCCTGTAGCGCTGCGGCTTATTTTCTTTAAAGTCACTTGACTTTAAAAATTTTAATTTATTTAAAAAAAACTGTATATAACAAACAATACAACTTTTATTATTCCAGTTATATGCTAAAGAAGCATAGTGTGAGCCATGCCGTTTCGCCGTCGGGGAACCTCGAAAATTCATGCAAATTCGAAAACTGTAAATATGTTGCCGCAAGTGCAACTTTACTACGCGTCCATGCTGCATCACATGCCAAGGAGCAATTGAAATGCAGTGAGCCATCTTGCAGCTATGAAGGGAAGAGTTTGTTGCATTTGAAGAGGTGAGTTTAATTTTTCTTTTTTAATTTCATGCAATACAATTTGCATAAATTTGTCACGCTCGAAAACTTTTTCCAATACCAATTTGAAGCACGATTTACTACATACTATTGATAAAGATGGGATGAAAATTTCTTTTTCCTCAATTGGTTGATTGACAACGGAACTGTACGTAGAACCAAATAGCACACAATGATCAGGGGGAATAGAGATCATCGCGGTTTCTACGATTCTGCAGAAGAAAGCATTTTCTAGGCATAGAGACCAAGCAATTCATTTCCACTTTTAATTTAATACTGTAGAAAACAATGTCAGCTTTGAAATCCAACACAGAATCACTCTTGCCAACAGGTCTTACTTTGTACATAGAAGCCAATTTAATAATTAAGTCTTTCCTCGATGAACAAAAAGCGAACTCCACAAGTCCCTCATCACTACCGTCCTTCCATATGGTGCAGAAGCGTTGACAATACCGTCCTTCAGAGTTTTCGAAAAGTTTTGCGAACGATTAATGGTCTCATGGGAAAGGCGAATACCGCAAACGATGAATATTCAAATAGTTCAGCGAATGAAGATCCACCGGCTATGCTGGGCTGGAATATGTCCTCCAAATGGATGCAAATTTTCCAGCTTTGATGATGCCGATGAGTGCCAATATTTCCCAGAGGAGATCAAAAAACTCTTTGTTTGGTATCGAAATAGTAAATATTTCATAGATTATAGATGGGAGCTCTCTGCCTTTGGGAGAGAAATTGGAATCGTTAGACGACAGAGTCCATTGAAGAATTTTTAGCAGTAAACCTCGATAGATTCGGGTTAAAATCCTGGTGTCTTACTAAAATCCAAAAAGTTATAGAGAATTAATTTATTATAAATAAAAAATTGAAATTTTCTAATTGCGGTCGCCCCTCGGCAGGGAATGTCCACCCCTCCGAGTGTATTTCGGACATGAAATAAAGGTTCCTCAGATCCCAAAAAACATCAATACGCAAAACCACAAATTGGTGTCCGGCAATAGGCTGTAGAAGTCTGTTCGAAATGACCATTGAGACTGCATTTAATCGAGTGGTTTACCCAACTTCTTTCCTCCATAATTACAATTATCATACTATTAATCTCTCCCTGTTTACACTAGATGATGAAAACCCATCGAAACTTATAACAAAATGTGTATACGAGTATATATAGATTGACTTCGGGTCTCTTCTCTTTCTGTTTCTCTCTCACTCCGAGCTCAAAACCTTTAAAAATGTCGTATTTTCGATTCGCATCGATATGCAAGTGATCTTAAGAGGCTAGAAGACAAAATTATCATTGACATATAGATGGTTTGATAACCGAGGAAAAATCGCGTAGGGACCGAAGCCCAGTACATACTTACTTCATGGATGAAACACACCTTCAACCTGTTGAAACTCCCTGAAATAGTCAATCCGAATAGTGAATTCTCAAACTATTCTACCACGACGAAGTTCGAATATCAATTGCTCGCTTGAATGCTAGCAAAGCGGCGGTAGCTGATGATGCCATAATCTCAATCCATAACAAGTAAATCTTATCAGTAAGGCTTCAATCCTGGACCAGACTTTCCCTTAAAGCTATGTATAAGAAAACCATGGAAACACACCGCCTCTTCGTCGATTTAAAGCTACTTTCAACAGCTTTCCATCAAGTCTACATGTATCACCCCCCAAAAAAAATCAAAAGCTACCTCTGCAAGTTTTTTGATATCATATTATGTTTAACGTGGAGCTAAATCTAATCAGAGAATGTAACTTCTAGAAGAGCATAACCAATAGTATTGCCATCTTTGGCTACAACAATAATGAGGTTAGCTCTGCTTTTTTGAGACTGGGCATGGAAGCGAAACGAATAGACTTGGTGGCGAAGGAGAACAAGGCGCCACATCTTATATGAACCAACAAAACGTCAAGAAACACCGCCTTGGATCCCACGTTGCTGTTGATAGTCGTAATATCGAAGTCGATAATAATTTGGTCTTTCTTGGTACAAGCATAAACACCAATTTTATTATCTGCCTCTAAATCCAATACCGCGGACGCGGTAGCCGAGTGGTCAGCATTGCGTACTGCCATTCGGAAGGCTCGAATTATAATAAAATCCAATACCTTTCGTTAAGAGATCTTACTTTTAAACGACAAGGCAATTGAGGAGATCAAGAGAGGACTAACTCGACGGACAAAGACCAAACCATACATAATACATAAAACATAATTATTCTCATTCTACTTTGTTGTGAGGATGATCGGTGACGTCAACATCCGATAAGTCGGCTCGAATAATTTTCGGTGGAAAATTTTTATGAAAGACAAATACCATAGACGATAGAACCTTTAGTTCCATGATGTGTTCAAAATTGACTTTACTCAATGAATCAAAAGACAACTGCGATGAAAACACGATAGCTTCGTCAGTATTCCATGTTTTGCTGGTTGATAGAACCCGATGAAGTTGATGGCCTCCTCGACGTTGGAAAGATTAGGTGGAACAGCGAAAGGGAAAAACAACTGGAGTGTTATTTTTGGTCTATCATGCTGGTAGTAGTGCAGTTGAAAAGAAGTAAAACATCAAAAAGTAGCAAGACAAGTGTTCTAGAAAAAGGGTATGTATTCGAGGCGCTGTTTGGTCAAGTCATCCTTCTCATCCGTCGGGGCGCGGGCGGAAATTAACGTGGTGTTAAAGAACTTCGCTTTGTAGTGGATTGTGGGGAGACGTTCATTCACCGGTGTAAATGCCAGTACTCGGCGACTGAGTTTCTCTCCCACCATGAATCCGACACCAAATTTGCGCTGTTTTATATGGCCACTGTAGTAAATTTCACAAGGACCCACGTTCTTCCGTCCTTGTACCGATAATCGCATTTCCTGGATGGCGGTGATGTCAGCATTTAACGTTATGAGGACATCAACCAGCTGGGCAGCGGCACCTTCCCAATTAAGGGACCGGGCATGCCTTCAAATCGTAATACTTGAAACATTCGGGGAGTCGTCATCAAAAAGGAGATCTCTCTTCCGAGTCTTATTGAAGTTAATCATTGGATTTTGGTATCCAGTTGTGGTTGCATCTTATTTTAACCCCTTTCAATACTAGTCCTACTCACTTTAAAATAGAGGCCTCGTAGTGTTTCGATCAATGCGAGTCTCCATCAAAGTCTTTTTCTACACAACCGGATAAATGTAGCAATCTAATGCATACACATATATATATATATATATATATATATATATATATATATGTATATAAGGGAGGAAGAAAAAAACTTAAAATGGTATCAACGCGCAAGCAAACTAAAGTTTTCGCAAAAACCTCAGTTAATTGTTAATTTAAGAGTCTTGCACACAGCGAAGCAGATCGATCTATCGATGGACGACACATCATTGTCGCAACGTACAAAACGACCCAACTCAACTACAGAGAAGGAATAAGGAAATAAATAATGAGAAATACGCACGAAATACAAGCAACAACAGGAGTGGCGTTGGAGGAGAGGAGGTGAGGAGGGGAGTATGCTGCAGAGGTACCCATTGAAACACAAATACCGAGCTATACGATTCTACATGTACAAGCATAAACAAGGCAGCAACAGCTCACTAATCAATAGCCATATGCGACCACAATGTGCCGCTGAGGAATTTCTGGCATTGAAATATGTAGGTATGTCCATATGTACATGTGACTCCTTGTGCAGGACAACAACACACCTAATACACCATTCAGCATTCGGCATTCGGCAAACTGAATGCAACTGAAATCAGATGAAAATGTCCAAATCGAATGAAATGAAATGTGAGTTAAAATCACCAAAACACGACTCCAACGCGCCGATCAGCCCCTGTAACTTCCACGCTGCAGCCTCCATTCAACTCTGTGGCACTGCGCCATCAATTCATCGACTCAGCAGCGACCAGCGACCAGCGCGCGCACATTCACAGCATTTATCAGTTTTCGGACTGCTATGGTGGAATTAATTGCCACCAAAGCCGTTCCAGAAGCCGCCTGCTCAATCGATAGTGGCGAACTGTGGAGTAGAAGAAGAAAAAATAAAAAAACAGCAAAAACAAAAACAACATGCCGGCAGTGCTGCCTGTATCTCTGTTCGTTTATCCGTTCAACGCACGGCCGTCCGCACGTCTCTGGTCTCTCAACGGCAGCGGTGCAGTGCAACGCGTGTTTTTCTTTTTTTCTTCTTTGGCTGGAATTGGCAAGTGGTATTTTTCACTGCGTTTAGTTGGTTGTAAATTCTGTGTAGATATGTATGCATGTACTGGTGGTTGTGCGCGCACGCGGTGAGCTTAATTAGCGGCAAATAATGGTCTGCGTGCCTCGCCACCTCATTTAGCGGAGGAGTCGCGGCGACGGCTACGGCCTGTACTGGAGCCAAAGTCAGAGCCAAAAGCCCTGACAGCAGCACAACAGTGACCAATCGTACACAGATCAATGTCGATATACGCGTGCATACTCGTACGTATGTGTGTTGTATGTATGTTTGTGTGGACAAGAAAGGGAAATTCACAACTCCATGTGCATGCTAAACAACAACAACAACGCCAGCAACAACAAATACTACAACCAAAGCAGTAATAAATGCTGTTCAGCGATCACTAATTGCAGATATTTCCTATTGCTTACAATTAGTTTGCCTCCGAGTAATGAAAAAAAAAACAACAAAAAAAAATAACTACAAAATTTTTGTGACAAATGTGCGCAGTGCAGTAAGGCAGCGAAGTACTCGAGTTCTGGACCGACCAAAATCCAAAATTAAAGAAAATGAAATTTTCTAATTGTGGTTTCGACAAGAAATGTCTTGCCTTCCTAATGTGTTTCCAGCTTCTTCTATTTCTTCTTCATTGGCGTAGAAAGCGCAAGCGAAACTAGGTCACTCTACACCTGATCCTTCCAACGCCAGAGGACACTGCATCAAAAACTTTCAATGCTAAAGCATTTTCATCCATTCGGACAATATATCCCAGCCAGCATAGCC